CATACATACACAAATACATATGTACATAAACATGTATGTACATACATCATACACACATCCATCCATCCGTCCATCATCCATCCATCCATCCATCCATCCATCCATCCATCCATCCATCCATCCATCCATCCATCACACATATACACATACCCACTTGGTTACTCCTCGTGGCCGAAGCTCGGAACTTGGGCATTGCCTCGCCTGAGCTTGCAAAGCAGCTCCTTGCTTATGAAATGGGGATCTGGAGTCTGTGCAGGGTTTTATTGGGTTTAGGCTTCAGGGATGATGTTTTATGACTTCGAAGAATTCTTTCTCGGCTTCAAGTCCACAAGAAGAGTTAGGTTCTTGAGCTTAGAGTAGGCAGGTCAGCATCTTGTCTAGAGAGCTCTTGCTCGGGCCACGTCCGCGCGGGCACACCGTAAAATCGATTTCGACGCTTCCGAATCTAGCAAATTGTGCTGTCGCTCGTGCACATTCAGGGCTTTCGCATGTTGGATCGTTTATTGTTTTGTGTCGATGCGGCCGTACTAGTCATGTACCGAATGGCAGGGTGCTGTATGGTTTATGGACTTACAGAAGTGAAGTTCCAATTGTACCACGGGGGCATCCGCCGAAGGTGCATGTGCGCGCTGTCATTGAACTCAGTCCACCCGTTGCTTTTGCTCGACGCACCACCCCAAAGCCCTCTCACCCCTAGCCCTCAAGCCTTGAACACCCTAAACCCCCTTAAGCCTTGAATACCAAAACCCTCGAGCCAAGAACCTGATATGGCTGACTCCGGGCTTGGCTGCCGGAAACCCAAAGAGCTTCAGACCTCCTGAGAGACCGAAGCATCAAAAGCCCAAACCAAGCCCTGTTTTAGAGTAAGTGCCGTTATCATAAAACGCTTAAAGTCAGAGGACCTCAAAGCTTGAAGCCAATGGGCCAAGTTTAGGGTTTTGGGTTGTGGGTACCCGGAAGACTCCAACGGTCCCACACCGGATGCATCCGTTGAACGCATGGGAGGCCGCTCGGTATCTCGTGCCTTTCAGTAGGACTGGTGCGCGCTCCCTCTCTGTAGTCCATACATATGCAAGCGTTAAAGCAATCAAAGATGACCAGACACTACCTGTGTTTGTCTCTGTCTGCGCCTCCTCCGTTCATCCATCCATCCAATGTTTTTTGGTATGGACAGATAGATAGATGGATAGGTAGATTTAGATAGACAGACAGATAGATAGACAGGCATATATATATATATATTCTTTTTGTTTATTTATACTTATGAAGAGAGAGAGAGAGAGAGAGAGAGAGACAGAGAGAGAGAGAGAGAGCGAGAGAGAGAGAGAGCCCCGATGTACTGAAACATGCACATGTTCGTGCATGTTTGTGAATGGATTTGCTCATTAAGTAATATTCATGTGGGCATGCAGCGTCTAGTTTTTGTCATTCATTTGTTCGTGTGCAGGTTGACCGAGAGCCAAAGTGCATGTGTTGGTACGACGATTAGCGGTGCCCGTGCCACAGCTCTTCATTACTTTCACTACGAACTACTTTGTCAGGCATGCGAGAGGCCCGATCGTAGTAGAAGGAATATTCCTCATACAGGTTTATTGCGCAAAGCAGTGTGCACCAGCAGTAGGTTCGTCAGGCAGCAACGAGTCCTGGACACTGCCTTTCACAGAAGAGCTGCCTGCTTCGATGCCATCTCAGCCAATCCAATGCTTCATGGCTTCACAGACACAGACTGGACGTATTTTGCAGGATGGCTTGCGCTTGTCAGGTGCCCTGAACATCAGGCGCACCAGCCCAAAGGGTCCAAGTACTAGTATAGTCTATACTTTTGCAGGCCCAAATACCTACTAAGTACCTACTATAATGCTACTTGGACCCTTTAAAGGGGCAGAAAGCTTTTAATCTCGCTCTCCTCGGCAGCGCGGCGTCTGCGCTTCGCGCAGCTGGCCGAGCTGACGCCTGCTGAAACTTGCGGCGTTGATAGAAAAGCGCTGACCTCCCGGAATGAGTCCATTAGATCTAAATGGGAGTTTCCGAAAATAAGGGGTACCTTATTTAGGGGGTCCTTATAATAGGGATCCTATTATTTAGGGTACTATATTAGGGTCCCCTATTTCTGTAAACCCCCAGATTTATACGACAGGTTAAATCACACTACTTTAGCACCCGCATCGCATCGCATGCGTTCATACATTTGCAGATATGTATGTTCGCTTATTGTCTTGCACGGACCGTGGCGGAAACCAGTGCGAGGCAAGTAGAAAGCATGGAGCCTTCTCGATGCATCGCTAATTTGGCAGACTCGCTGTAGAATCCCATGCCTGTTCGTGGACATTCAGGAATGATCCGAAGCTGGAATTAGTGCAGAGACAGACGTCGAGTCTTTTTGAGTTCATAATTAGGCTGTATCGCATCCGACCAAACCTCCTTACTGAAGCTTTGTGCCCATGCTCGCGCATGGTCGGGGATGATGTTTCGAGGCAAAGTGTCCGGCAGTGCCTATGCCTTTGACGTTACAGAGCGGGAGCATGAGTACCTGGTGCAGCGACTAAACCAGCAGGACCTGGATCGCAACCTTTGCGTGTCTACAAGCAGCCTCTTCAAGTGGATGCAAGCTGCTCGCATGGAGCTCGCATGGCTGCAAGCTGGCTATAAAAATCTGTCCCATGTAGAGCCACAGCTACCGCGACGGCTCTTGGTGGCCTCTCAAGGGCTTCGAATCATCCGTACCGCAGCGCTGTCTGAGGGACTTCACCGGTCAGTCCTTACCCGTGTCAGTATCGGCAAGGTGGGCAAGACGTCAATGGAGTTTCGCTACGAGGTTTTTTTCGATGCCGACAAGGTCGCAGATGGTTGCACCGTTATGATTTTCGCTACGGGCCCTCCAGGGAGTTTCACTCCAACTCCTGTTCCGGAGGATCTGAAAGCCTTGGCGGCTATGGGACTCGATGCATCTCCAACTGAGCTATCTCGCTCCGTTCCGGACCAGGTGCCTGCGAACGCCTACCGGACCAGTGCTTCCGTGCGCTTCTCGGACGAGGACCTCAACAAGCACGCCAACCACTCGGCTCAGGCGCGCTTCTTCGAGGATGCACGGGAAGAGCTGATGGCAGATACCAAGGCACCACCGGAGCTGAGAAGACTCGCCTCCGGTCACACCGAGGCCGTCGCCATCACTTACCTGGCCGAGGCGCATGCGCTGGATGAGCTGGGGATCTTTCTGGCCCCCAGCAAGGAGCCTCTTGCCCTGGATGTTTGGGTTCAGCGGACGCAGCCCGACCCCCGGCTCCTGGCAAAAGGACCCTCACCTTTGCCGAATGCCTGCGCAGAGGTATTGATGTTAGAACCGACTCTGCGCCGGGGCCCGTCCCAGGCCCTTCTTGTAAGAAACTTAGAGACTTAGCCAGGTCGTAGTCTGGCACTGTAGCACCCCATGTACCAGACAATCTGCCAAAGCATACCATAACATACTACAATCAAGAAACAATAGCACATGACAGTATGATCTACTACTCGCACAACATGCCAGAATATGCTACAATAAACGTTAACATGGTCTACTACACTATACTTAATATACCATCGTATATCATAAGGTGGTGTACAACAAGCTCTCTCTCTCTCTCTATGTGTGTGTGTATGCACGTACATGTACATGCATATGTATATATGTGTACACCACAACATTATACCACCACCTGCTATAATAAGTATACTATATCATGACCTACTATACCACATGCCAGCTTCCTTTGAACCAAAGCAAACCTCGCCCATGAGGACGGATCCGTGTGGCCAACGAGCGCTCCGGAGCCACCGATTCATTCACTGCGCGCCTCTAACGTGGCGCACAGCGCAGCAGCGCATTCGATGGGTGGCTGATCGTAGATCATAGCAGAGTACATTGGAGTGTGCGAAAGTGTGCTATCTGTTGCAGTATACGATTACTGTCATATTATAGGACACTCTGATATTCTGGTTGATGATTCATGATGGTATCTTATATGGTATGCGTCTGCGTGTTCGAGCTTTACAGGGCGAGCTGTCCAGTCAAGCGAAAGGTGCAGTGGCCTGCTCACGAAGTCCTGGTCCAACCTCAGGATAAGGGTTTCAAGAATTGTTGAAAGACTGCACTGCGCTGCAGCGTCAAAAGCGCGTTTTCAACTGTGTGCTCTTCGTCTCTGGAGTTGTAAACAGGGTCAGGTGACAGAATCCTTAGCACTGGGACAAGCATGCTTCGGAGACCGCGGGAGAAGTTGCCCGTCTGATGCTTGGGCCTTAGGGCGTACTCGTGCGTCAAGGGCAGAGAATGGCAGAGCAGTTTTGCTCGCAGTGGCGGTAGGCAGCATCCAAACCTTATCCACGGCACAAGGGATCTGACATGGCCACAAATAAAGCTCGAGCTAGCAGCTAGCTGTACGCCAGGCCCCCGATGCCCTGCCTGTGCACAACACATACGTGCAAAAGCATATGAAGTGATAGCCCGCAGTTCCTTAGGTACTTGAGTTGCTTGTTTTGTTGCCACTACACCATTTGAGAACGGCTTGCTCTGCCATGTGTGACTGGCACCATGCTGGCAGATGCGGCTTGCTCGACAAAGAGTGTGCTTTCCGTTAGTTGCTACGCTATCGTAGGGCTGCCCGCAACAGCGCAGGCTTCCTGTTCCAACCAACTGTGTGCGATGATGTGTGCTACTGTTTTTGAGGGAGTGGCTTGGTGTTGCAATTTGGGGATCCGGTTCTTGCCTGGTTTGCCCCAAGCCCCCTATACATAAACAAATAAGTCCAATAAATAGATAAGTAAGTATAGTAGACGATACAAGATCAAGAGACAAAAAAAGGTTACGTAAAGTGGAGCACATCACATAGATAGGTACAGATAGATATAGGGGCCTAAATACCTAATACTATTTTGGGGTTCCTTTGAATAAATATAGTATAAAGGACCCCAAAACCCTATTCTAATTATTAACGCCCCTATATTTTGGAGAGGTACAGATAGATACAGATAGATATATACGGTGAGGCACTTCGCTTGACCTCGAAGCTTCCGAGCTGCTTCTTGCTGGCCTCGCTCCTGGCTGCCAGGCAGTTCGTCGTGTCCGCACTTGGCGTTGTTGCGTTTAGGGTTAGGGGTTTGGGGTTTAGGGGGCAAGTGCTGAAGCAAAAAGGGTGGCTTGGGGCTTCGAGGCTTGTGCAAAAGCCCAGGTATCATACGATCGCCCGTGCGCTACACACATTTACATGCGTTTTAACACGATAGGCAGCACCGAGAGGCTGACTGCAGCCAATGCGGAAAAGACGCTGCAGCAGGCACCCCCGCACCAGTGTTCGTAGTTATGTTGAAGACTCGGTGAAATCTGTGCAGATTTGCAACAACAGGCACGCATTCCTGGTTTGTGTTTACGGTAGGTCAACAAGTGTGCGAGAGCTCCCGGATATTGGTAAGTAATTTCTGGTTGGTCTGGTGATGCGAACTCTGTGCCTCTGAGCGTCAGTGCACAGCTGCACAAGTTTGGCGACGCTGTCACCGTAAGGCTGTATCCCGTTCTGACCCCAGAGAAGCCGGCAGGACATTTTCTTCAGCAAATCATGGGGTTCCCCTCGCGAGAGCCAGCTGATGCAAGTGCCGGCCTGAGAAGAGATTGGTGTTGCGGGTGCGCGCTTGCGCGCGAGGTTCAGGGCTGGACGTTCCCTGGGCCTCCCACCAGGCTGTCGCAATTCATTGAAACTGTGTGTTTCTTTGGTGACGGAGGCTTTTGGGGCTTTTTCGATTTCGGTGCTTTCGGTGAGCGCAGCACGAGAGTACAGAAAGCAAGGCCTTGCCCAGGGGAGTCGCTGTAAAGCCATATCCGTTCTTGCCCACCTGTGTGGTCCTTGCACCTTAGGACCTAAGCCCTCCTTACTGACATTGCAACGTCGATGTCGTCACTCTGTCCTGGAATCGAGTATACCATCCATCTCTCCGAGGAGATGCGCTTGTGGGGATCGAAAGACATTCAGGCGCGCAGTTGCTGGCTCTGAGTTGCGATAGGACTGGGATGGCATGGCACGCTGTCTCTAGTTACTGTAGTTGCAGAGCGGCGGTTGCTTTGATGCCACAGTCTCGCAAGCCCGAACTACAATGCCAAACCTCGAGTTCAGAGCTAATGCCTTGTTTGGTTGTGGGTGTGTCGCGGCCGGTTGTTGCCTAAAGTAGTGATGTCTCGAAGCCTTGCCAGAGTGCAAGTATCGAAACCCTAAAGCCGCAGACCCCCTGTCATAACTTCTGGCAGTCCCGAGCAGGGCAGCCATCGGGTAGTGGCCGCGATGACAACTACTCCGAGCTTCGTCTCCACTCGATTGCGTAGTTTTGAAGACGGGTCTTTGGGGCTGTGGAGCCAGGTAGCTACTAATCGTTGTTGGCCGATAAGCTGTTACATAGGCATCACAGCGTTCCTAGTTCTTCAATAGTGGCTGGGCAGTAAAACGGCCTCCGGGGTGCGAAGGAGGTGGAGGGTGTCGGGTTCGGTAGTGGTAGCGAGTAAGAGAGAAGAAACGTGTCGAAGATCTGCTGACGGTTCGGGGAGTTGAACAGACCGACGGATTCCTCTGCCTAGGACGCGGATTCAGCTGATCGAGCGTGTCGTCGACAGCCTCCTAAATCAGAGCAGGACGATCAGCTGTCTATCAATCACTGGATCCATTTTGCTTATTTTTTCTACTTGCAGCATGCCACAGGACTGGAGTAAAGTTCGTCCATCATCATGGCAATCCGATGCTACCCCCCCCATATTTCAGGGGTTGCTGGGGAAGCTGAAAGAGAGAGAAAGCATGCTACTAACCTGTCCCCGGTCGAGGGTGAATCTGATTTTCGGGTTGTTTGAGAGTACTTGCTTGTGGCAAAGTGGCCAGCACTCGCACAGCATGTTTGGGTCGACTTCATGCGAATCTGGGCATGACCCTGCGGGGACCGACTTCATGTGGCCTGGGTCGACTCAACACCAGAGCGTGTATGACTCACGCATGCTCATTTATGTGCGCACAAGGCCCGAAGACATGCGGTACGCAGACAATTTTGCTCCTTCCGCAGCACGTGCTGAAGCCCACATCCGGGCCATGTGCACATGGGGCCTCACTATTCCTATGATGTGACTAAACGCGGATCGGGGCGTCCCCCTCGGGATGTTGTGACTAAACGCGACCTACTGGGACTTAATTTAGTCCCACCGCTCCTATGGGGAGGCCCTTGGATGCAGTCTACCTTTTTGTTCCCCACGTCTTCTTGCGGGACGGCAGCCAGTGCCATGGCCAGCATTACTGTGGGATTGGAAAGCTGCTAAAAAACGCAGCTCTTTGCAATGCGCCTTCGACTATAATGGCATAGCGCAAGTTGGAGCTTTGCCGGCGTAGACTGCGGCCAGGCAGATCAATGTGCGTATGCGTGATGCTTTGACAGGGCAAGTGTACAACGTAGGCGGGCAAGAATAGAAGACAACTAATTGTGCGGAACATTCTTTGGTAAAAATGAAGTTGTCGTTTCAACTGACATGCACAAAGTGGCCTCAGTGTCTTGTCGGGAAGAGCTCGGTTGAACTGCTTCTTGCCAGGGGTCCCCAGCCCTTTACTGCCCCTACTGTTCCGCCCCGAAGCAGCGCTTTCTCAGCCCCCTCTGCCCTTGGGCTCGGTGGTTGTTTGTGTTGTGAGGAAGCATATCGTACTTGCTGCAAGCCCAGAAAACAAGAGCTGAGAGGTACATCCTTCCTCCTTGGTTGCAGCAGAAGGCCTCGAGGGCGGGGATGTTGCACTCATTCGGATCGGAATTCGGATCCTTGAAGATGCCCATATTTTGCAGGTCTCCCAAAAACAGTAGAACCCTGAGCTCCGCCCGAAAGACCCTACACAGCCCTCCAAGCCCTCAGTCCCAAAAGCCCTAATATAGGGGTCTAATGGACCCCAAAAACCCTATTCTAATTATTAAGGCCCCTACATCAGATGCTTTATAACCGGGTGCGGTTCGAGCTGAAGAGGCGGCGGAGAACTTCCACCTGCGTCGATGCGAGGACTCTGGGCCGGCCACGCACATGCAGGCCAGGCCCATATATATATATATATATATACATACACACATATGTATATATACACATACACAAAGACATACATACATACATACATACATACATACATACATACATACATACCTTGAAAAATGAATTGGGTTATGGTTTACGGTGTCGTCTTCCTGGAGTCGTCCGAAAAATACCAGCGTGAAACCAGAACGTGACAAGGATAACCGCCAAAAGTACAAACAAATTACATACCAGTCGCAGCAATCACACATACTAATAATGTGTCAACTTGTTGAGCTTAACTTGCGCCAAAATGTTGGCTTTAAGGGCCCGACTTGCACCGTCTTCCAACGGCCCTAAACCGGAAACAATTGAAATAACAACACGCTACAAATCACAAATCCGTTGTCCTCAGGAGGTGCTCAAGATAGAGCTGGATCCCAACACATACATACTGCAGGCAGGCAGTGTTGCACACTGGTAGTTCTCGAGGGTTCTGTCTGTGCTAGACATCGATGAAGGGTTAAGGTACCTGATTTGAGGTATAAGGCCTGCGCTGGTTTCGAATGAGGTAGTTCACTTGGTTGGGGGGACAAGACTGTCATATTATAGGTAACTGCCTTGCAAGGGCGCAAGTTCAGCCAACAGTGCAGTGTCACGTGGCGCATGCAGAGAATTTAGGGGTACGATGCCGCATGGCCGACAGGTTAATATGGAACATAATTTTACAGTGACTTCCGGCTCTGGCTTTGATCCTTATCAAACTCCGGGGGAGCGAGTGAAGACGCAAGCTCCCCTTCAGGTCGATGACGATCAGGAGTACGGACGGAAGTTGGTGGAGAAATTGCTGAAGGCGACAAGTCCTCTCCCAGGTCGCGCAATTGGAGCAGCCACTCAGCATGCCTACAGCTACCTCAAGGGTCCCGTCTTGGAGGGCGTGCACGGCGTGCTTTTTCAGCGGAAGTTCTTTGACAGCAGCATTTTTGATTACACCGGTTTCTCGGAGTACTGCAAGCTGCACGACGACTTGTGGCTCTCCGCTCACTTGGCACGAAAAGCTCGAAGGCGCGAGGCTCTGACTTCTCGTTTCGGAGCCAAGCCGCTCAGCTTTGGCTTCCGCTCGGATGCGCTCTTCCAGGGCGGAGCCGGCACGGACAACCACTGGAACTTCTTTGCTTGCATGTCCTCACTGATGGAGAAGATGCCCAGTCTCTGGGAACCAGAGGACCCTGCTTCTTCGTGTTTGGGGTTTAGGGTTGAGGGCAGTGGGGGGGCTTCCCAGCTGATTGGCAGAGTCTGGGTTCAAAAAGGGCAGCCCCCCACTGCCCATGGCATAGCAAGCAGGGTGTTTGGAGAGCGTCGGAATCGGAAGTCTGCAGGACCGCGTGGCCGTGGTGGCGCCGCTTGCCGGGCTCCGCGCTCAGGATGCCGCGCAGGCACGACAAAAACCGAAGTTCTGGGCTTTGTAAAAGTTGCACAGGCTGGATCTGCAAAGCTTCTGCACTCGTTTCGTGGACATTTGTCTGCGAAGCCTGCCTGGGCAAGGAACAAACACTCAATCTCGCAGAACGGCGAGGGCCTTGTAGCATCGGGTCTCCGTACTCGATTCCTCGCGCCGATTTGTGTTCTGGCCTTGTGCGAAGGCACTTCGGCGGCTGCTTCGAAGGCTGCAGCGGGAGCCTGGTTTTGGGCCGCATGCTCTGTACCTGCTGCCCGGATGGATCTAGTCGAGAACTGCAAGAATGAAGCCAGCTTGTGCTCTGCTTTTGCGTGCCATTGAATGTCAAACCTCTAAGCACCACCCGGTGTCCAGGGACATCCGACCATCTCTTTGGACTCTGAAGCAATGTTCGTCTCCCTCCATGCCTCCCTCCCTCCGTAATTGGCTGCATGTGGGCTCTTTGCAAGCTCCGGCTCTACGATGACGATTGCCCAACTTCGGTGTTGCACATCGCTCTTCATCGAAGTTCCCCCTGTATTCAAGTTTCACAAACGAAGGTTTGGAAACATCGCAGATGCAGGGTCGCTCCTTCGGAAAAGGCGGGGTGCTGGGTTGCTGTACAACTGTTAGAGTGCTAGCGCCTGAAGCACTACATACATGCATGCATGCATGCA